CTGCCTAGCAAGCACAGGTAGTCTTCTGGTGCTTTGTGGGAGAGGAAGCCACCCTTGTCGCCTGAAGAGAGCTGGGACCTTGTTTGCTGTGTTCCAGACCGTTACCCATGCATGGCACAGGGGTGGCACCCAGGAGGTCCTGGTGAGGCTTGGTGACTGAGAGATGAAGGCAATCCTGCAGGGGTTTCATGGGGCCACCTTGTATCCTTGCCCCTTTCAAGACACCACCTCCACCAACCACAACTGGGTCAGAGGCTGTAACCTGGCCGCCACAGGGCATTTCCTACAGCGGGAGCTCAGTGCCCTATAGCAGATCAGTGCATGATGTCATGCCAGACTGGCATCATTGTTGTCAGCTGTGGGCAGGGCCCTGCGCCAGGAAGGCCAGCTGAGCCCCTGGGCCGATGCAACATCAACCTGAGCCCTGCAGTAGACAAGGGCAGCTGTCTTCTCTTTCTTCTGAGGCTTTTCTTTTTCTTTTTCTTTTTTTAACTTGTCTTTATTGTTGAATGTATTACAGATGTCCCCTCTTTTTTCCCCCACTGACCACCTCCTCCCCAATCCTGCCCCCCTCCTGCCTTCCCCACACTATTGTCTGTGTCCATTGGTTGTACATATATGCATAGAAGTTCTTTGGTTTATCTCATCCTGCCCTCCTTCCCCCTTCCCTTGGAGATTCATCAGTCTAACCACCAATTTATACTTCTTAATTCCTTCATCTATTTCACCCAGCCCCCCAGCCCCCTCCCATCTGGCAAGCAACAAAAAGTTCTCTATCTATGAGTCTGCTTCTGTTCTGCTTGCTCATTTTGTTTGTAGATTCAATTGTTGATAGATATGTATTGATTGCCATTTTATTGTTCATATTTTTGTTCTTCTCCTTCAAGAAGACCCTTTAACATTTCATATAATACTGGTTTGGTGGTGATGAACTCCTTTAGCTTTTTCCTGTCTGGGAAATTCTTGATATGTCCATTGATTCTAAATGATAGCTTTGCAGGATAGAGTAATCTTGGTTGTAGGTCATTGCTTTTCATCACTTTGTTTTTTTGGGTTTTTTTTTTTTTTGTTTTTTTTTTCATCCTCACCCGAGGACATTTTTTCCATTTTCTGTTCAGGTAGAGTGGGAGGGAGAGAGGAAGAGAGAGAAAGAGAGAAACATCGACGTGAAAGGGACACATCGAGTGGCTGCCACCCGCACGACCAACCAGGGCCAGGGACAAACTGCAACCGAGGTACGTGCCCTTAGCGGGAACCGAACCCGGGTCTCTCTGGACCGCAGGCCGACGCTCTAACCGCTGAGCCAAACCGGCCAGGGTGCTTTTCATCACTTTGAATATCTCTTGCCACTCCTTTGTGGCCTGCAAAGTTTTTTTTTGAGAAATCAACTGACAGTCTTATGGGAGCTCCTTTGTAGGTAACGAATTGCTTTTCTCTTGCTGCTTTTCAGATACTCTCTTTGTCTTTTACCTTTGGCATTTTGATGATGTGTCATTTTCTTGGATTCTTTTTTGTTTTTGCTGTTCTGATTGGGTGTTTTTTGCTTCCTTATATCCTTCAAGGTAGTCAGAGGCCAAACCAAGTTGATGGTTTGCTTCTTGACTTTACCTACTCTACTACTGATTCTCTGTAGATTATTCTTTATTTCAGTTAGTGCATCCTTCATTTCTGACTGATCCTTTTTTATGTTGCTGATGTTCTCCTTAAGTTCCTTGGAGTTCTCCTTAACTTCCCCTAAATTCTCACTAAGTTCCTTGAAGTTCTCAATAAGTTCCTTGAGCATCCTTATAACCAGTGTTTTGAACTGTGCATCTGTTAGATTGCTTATCTCCATTTTGTTTAGTTCTTTTCCTGGAGTTTTGTTCTTTTCTTTCATTTGGAACATGTTTCTTTGTCTTATTTTGGCTGCTTCCCTGTGTTTGTTTCTATGTGTTAGGTAGAGTTGCAATGTCTCCTAGGCTCATAGGGTGGCCTATTGTTGTAGGTGTCCTGTTGGATCCAGTGCACAGCCTCCCAATCACCCCAGCTGGGCCCTCAAGGTGCACCCCTAGTGTGGACTGTACACCTTTCTGTTGTAATCGAGTCATGATTGCTATCAATGGGAGGGATTTACTCAGGCTGCTCAGCTACAAGAACTGGCTGTGCCCACTGGCTTCTGACTACCTTGGAGGATCAGCTGTGGCCTACCACACAGAGCAAGACTTCAGCAGGAATCTGGTACCCACTGAGACCACTCATTGAGTGTGTCACTTGTGGAGGTGGTTGGGTGGTGGTGTTTTGATGTGGTCTGAAGCTGTCCATTGGGTGTTCTGGCTCGGGGGCAAGGTCAGCCACTGCCTGTGTTCTATCCGGGGCCACCAGGCATAAGCTACAAAGCAGTCTGCAGATGGTCGCTACTCGTGCTGGGCTTGGAGATGCCCAGGAAAAGCTAAGTTGTGAACCAAGGCTGGCTGCTTCTAGTGCCAGGCCTGGAGCCACTTAATGAGAGATAGGGGGTCGCTGAGACCAGATGCTGCTTATTAGACTTTAGGAAAATCTGAAGCAGGATCCGAGACAGGCCAATCCTATGGTAAAGCCACTGGAAACAGCTTGGGTGGGCCCAAAAGTCGGGAGGGACAGGGCCTCAGGGAATCAGCAGGACAGGGGTAACTGTGTGAGCCAGGTTGCTAGAGTCCCACATATGGTGGCCATCTGCCCCCCAGGGAAGGGCTCACCAAAGGAACAATGGCCTCCACCAGCACACCTCTCTGGGAGAAAGCTGCCCCTTCAGCTCTCACCCCAATGCCAAACAACTCAATTCTTCCCCATATGTCTCTGGTGCCTTTCAAGCTGTCTCCCCCACGCTGGAGCCTGGAGGGTGAGAGTCTGAGTAAGTCCGTGCGCGGGCCCTTTAAGAGGAGCGGCCTGGGACTTAGCAACCTCAGCCTCCTTCACCCTCAGTTCCCGCTGGTTTTACAGCCAGAAGTTATGAGGATACTCTTCCTGGCACTGCAACCCTGAGCTGGGGGCCTGGTGTGGGACGGGGACTCCTTGCTGCTTGGGGAGGCCCTTCCCAGCCGAGGTGTCCTCCTGATTTTATCCGCCACACTTGGGTGTGGGACCAGCCCGTCCCCTCCGCCCCCCTACCAGTCTCGATGTGGCTGCTGCTTTAATTCCGTAGTTGTAGGACTGCCATTCAGCTCGATGTCAGGCGGTTCTGAATGATGGTTGTGTGTAGTTCAGTTGTAATTTGATGTTGTGGGAGGAGGCGAGACCGCGTTTACCTACCCGCCATCTTGACCGGAAGTCTCTTCTGAGGCTTCAACATCAACTTCCTTTCTGCTTGTGGCCCAAGTTTGGCCCTGCCCCCTCCCCGTGGGTCCCTGCCTGTCCTGCCCATGCCTGAGGGGCTTGTTTGCAGAGATGCTGCCCGCCCGGGGGCCCAGGGCCCTTCACAGTCCGACTTTCCCGAGTTGACCTGTTTCCATCCTCACCTCCCCCTGCGGTGGGCACAGGCCAGGGAGGTGGCGAGCAGTGTGCATGGAGGCAGGGGGCAGGCACCCCCATCACCGGTAACGTGATGGCGCCAGGGAAGGGAGCCTGGAGAAGGGTAAGGAGCAGGGATGGGACCCAGGGGCTTCCCGGGAGCTGGGCCTGCGGACAGAGCAGCCTGGGACGCAGTGAGGCTGGAGAGGCGTGTCTGGGACCGGCTCGAGGGGCAGGAGCTGCAGAGCAGGGAGGTGACTGTGGGAGAACTAGGGGGCACAGGGGAGTGGGGTTGAGGCTGCCTGAGTGCATGCGGGGCCAGGGCCGCACTGAGGCTACTCCTCTCCCAGCGTCTCTCTCAGCCCAATTCCAGGCCCTCGAGGGCAGGGCTGTGTGGTCCTGCCAGAAAGCCACCCATGGGTAGGGTCACCAAGCAATTTCTTCTGGGCCTCTCCCCTCCCTGGCCCAGGTGATCATGAAGTCGGGCTTGGGGTCAATTATGAAGAGTTTTGCCACTTCCTCATGATCACTGTGAAAGAGTCCTCAGCCTGGAGAGCAGGTGGGGACAGGGATGGAGGGCAGAGTGGGCCCGATCCCTGGGCTGTTGGAGTCCCAGGTCGCCAACCCGATTCGAGTGGACACCAGTGAGCTCTCACTGCAGCAGCTGGGCTCCCCGAGGCACCCACTTGGCAGGCAGGTAGTTACCTGGCCCAAGGTTTTTCCTGTAAATGGGGCACTGACCTCAGTGGTCAGTTTCCTGTCTAATGGAGAGGCCCCGCTTGCCCCGTGGTTTTGTTACAAGGGTCTGATACCGCCCTGGCTGCCCTGGACTCCCCAGAGGCCCTGAGCAGAGGCCCAGTTCGGTAGGTGCTGGTGAATCAACTCCGGCAAGGGTGCCCTGACCCCGGAGGAGGGGCATGTGCGGGGCTGAGCTGCAGCTGCCTTGAAGCTCGCCGCTCTCACTTGTCAAGGGACAAGAACGAGCTTGGAGAGGGCTAAGAAACTGGTGAGTTGCCCTCGTCCTGGGTAGTGTGAATGCCTACAGCACCCTGGTAGCCTCTCTTCATCAGTTCCACACCCTTCCAGAGACCTCCATGGGGATGCCACCAGGGTTTCTGGCAAAAGCAGAGCCCCAGACCCTTCGTTGAAGTTGCCACATTTGGTGAAACCGGTTAGAGAAAACTTCGCCCCCTGAAGGCAGCAGTGCAGGCAGGCAGGCCCCTGGGTCTCTCACCCTCTGCCCCATGTCATCTCCGAGGGTCCGCAGGTGCCACCAGCCACACCCCGAGCCCGAGGCTCCCAGCAGGGACTCAGCCTTCAGCCCAGGGGTGCTGGGCTTCCTGAGCCCCCTCAGCCCCCTCAGCCCTCCCTCACAGGCCGAGGTCTGTGCTCCGATCATAGAAGGCACACCTGGGGCCAAGACAGACACCCGACTTGCTTCAGGGCAGGGTGGTGGGATGGGCCCAGCAGCTGCATAAACCCACCCTCTCCCCGTGCCTCACCCCAGAGCAGAGCTGGAAAGGAGGCAGGTCCCCAAGAGACCACTTGTGGGAAAAAGGCCAGTAGACAGAGAGGTCATTAGCAACTTGAGCTTGGAGCCTCTGATCAGGAGGGGGACAGGGAATGACACCAACGGTGACATGAGAATTTCAGCCACAGCCCAGGACTTTTAGAAGGACTCCAGCAAGACAGATAAAAGATCCTTTACAGACAACCAAGTCCATTTTACAGATGGCAACATTGAGGCTCAATGATGGGAACAAGGCTCAGGTAAGATGCCAGTGGCTCCTCACCCCCCCGCCTGCGAGCCACTGCAGGTCAAGGTCATCTGTGACTGGGCTAGTGGCCGGGCAAAGGAAACCACCAGCTCTGGAGCACACCTGTCACCCCTCACCCTCATCCCAGCCAGGGCTGCAGCAGCATCTCCTTGCGAGAAACTCATCTTCTGCAAGAGCTGCCCGCAGGGCCCATCCTGCCCTCTGGGCCACGAGAGCCGGCTGGGCGTGCTCGCTGCACGGGAAGTCCACGGCGGCCCCTCTCAGCTCCACAGTGTGTCCAGGGCAGGCCGGGCTACTAGGGCTCCCTGAAGTCCCGGGAGCTGGGCAATTGATGCATGTCACCCCTCTGGATGTGCTTGTAACAGGACTGGAGGGAGAGAGGGGAGGCTGAGGCCGGCTGCCCTGCCCACTCCAACCACCGACACAGGCTTCGGGGCCGAGACCAGGGTGCGCCCGCCTCCCCAGCCTGGACCACCATATCTCCAAGTGAGCCCTCACCACAGTCTGCAAGGAAATAGGGTCTTGCCACTCCCACTGTGCTCGGGGGTGCAGTCTGGGACACAGTCAGGGCCCCGGGCTTCCTAGGGCTGGGATGCCCTGTGGGCTGCCTCTAGCTCCTTTTAGCAAGGACAGGACCGGGGGCTCTATGAGGACCCCTCCCATGGACACAAGTTGTGACTGTGAGTGAGCTCATCCCCACGATGGTGGCTGTGGCAGTGGCCAACCCCCTGGGCCAGGGCACTTCTGTCCCTCACCTCGAGGGCTGTGAGCAGGAAGTCATACAGGCCACCCATGTATATGGGGTCCATCATGTCACGGATCAGGTGGATCTCGGCTCCTAGGTGCTGGATTCTGGAGAACAAACACCGCCAGTGAGAAGGAGAAGGGGTCCCATCAGGGACAGGCACCAAGCAGCTGGGGAAGAAGCCCTGGACTGGGAGGCCGGACACCTGGGGTGAGGTCCCTGCTCTGCTTCTGACACCCACAGGACCCAGGGTGGGACCCTGGGACCCTCTTCTCTCTGGGCCTCAGTGTGCCCATCTGTACGAAGAAAAGCAGTGTCCACGTAGCCTGAAGTTCATAGACTTTGCTGTTTCGAATGTGTCTGGTTGGGGAAGGAGCCCGGGGGACAAGAGATCAGCTCCCGGCCCGGCTGCAGCTCACCGGGCGCGCGACGCCACGTAGATGAGCAGCGGCAGCAGGTCATCCATGGGCAGCTTGTGCTCCTGGCCCAGCACCCGAGACACGGTGGCCTCAATCTCCCGGTACGTCCTCTCCAGCTCCTCCAGCTTCTCCCGGGGGTCCACTGTGGTGCTGCAGCAGGGTGGCTGGCTCCAGATCTAGGCTCTGGGTTCAGTCCCAACTCCTGCCTCCCACCGCACCCTGCCCAGGGCACAGACTCACATCATCTTCTGCAGACACTCGGTAGCTGACAGGAAGCACTTGCCTCTGACCAGGGAGTGTCTCTGTGTCAGGGGAGCAGCCTGGTGAGGCCACAGGCCCCCAGCTCTGTCACGTCCTCCTCCCCGGCCACCCACCCCATCCCCAGGAGTGGCTTCAGCACAGCCCTGCCCAGAGGCATGAACGACCCAGGGCAGGTGACAGCTCCTGTGAAGTGGGGCAAATGATCGGCAGGAGGCTGGGAGGATGAACTGGATAAAGATAATAATCACGACAGCCAACAGCCGCTGGCTGCCACCCGGTTCCGACTACCCGTGGCAATGGCTCTCAAACCCAAGCACTTGGTGAAACGCCGATCCCTGTGCTCCCCGAGCCTGACTCAGTAGGTCTGGGGTGGGTCTGAAAATCTGCCTTTCTAGCAGACTCCCAGAGGCAGCGGAGGCTGCGGGGCCGGCGACGCCTGGGGCATGCCTCCCACTTTCCCCCACCAACAGCACTGCAGCAGAGGTGCTTTCACAGGAGAGGAAACTGAGGCACAGAGCTCACATACAGTGCCCATGGGGGCAGAACCGGTAAAAAGGTGGTGCCTGCGTTAGAGCCTGGTCACTGTGGGCCACCAGCTACAGCCTCACCCACATGGAAATCAGAACAACTCGGGAAGCCTGGTGTCCCCTTCCTCACCTCTCTGCCCCTCCCCGGTCCTCTGCAGCCTCTGACCAGCAACATGAGGCAGGGCTGGTTGGAAGCCTGAGCGAATCTAGGGGCCCAGCTCAGGGCTCCGGCCACCCCCTCCCCTTCCCCTCCCCTCCCCTCCCCCTCCCCCTCCCCCTCCCTGGGGTAGGTGAAGGGCCTACCCTCTCACCTGATCGCTCGTCAGTGTGAGGTCCTTGCAGGGCCACAGGTGCCTGAAATTTAAAATATGAGACAGGAGGCTTTGCCAAGAGGAGGGGGCAGGGTCTGAGGTAGAGGGCAAACTCCCTGTGCCACCGTGTCCCCACATGCAGGAAATGGGTCCACACGGCATCCCAGAGCACGTGTGTGAAGCCCGAGGCGGGGAGGCTGAGAGGGATTCCTGGAGAAGGCAGCCCGCCTGGCCCCCAGCATGAAGGCGGCTTGGCTGGTGAGTGTGGAAGAGAGAAACCTGGGAAGCCGTCAGCACCTGGTCTGCGGGCTGGTGCCTGGTAGATGCAGGAAATAGTCACCACAGCGGAGAGGAAGCAGGGTGTAGGGTGGGGGCAGTGCCCCATGCCCTCTCACTCCTGGTATCAGCAGATCAGAAGGGATGTTGAGAAGAGATACTGTGGCAACTGAGGGTAGAATGGAGACCCTGACCCGCCCCTGGAACAGTTCTCGGTTTCCCTTGGAGGATCTCCCTCCCCCATTCTCAGTCCGAGAGCCAGAAGCAGGTGAATTGCTCCAGCTGCAGCAGTAGAGACTGAGGCAGGCCTGGCCAGTCTTGGCCACAGCCACCATTCAGAGAGCACTCAAGACCCAAGCCAAGCCAGCCAGGGACTTCAGGGCCTGTGCGGGAGCTGTTGGGAAGGAAACACCAGCTCCCTGTAGAGACAATGAGGGGACTGCGCTGGGAGAGTATAAACCTTGGGTGGCTGATGCAATGCATGTCACCATTAAGGGAGAGCCAGAGACAGACTAACAGGGAGAGAGAAGTTGCTTCCCTTTATCATGCAGTTGAGCACCTAGATCCAGCCACACCTGAATCCAGACACCAGCATAACCCTAGAACTTCATGGATACATGGCCAATTAGTGCACCCACCCCCGCCTTTTTTTGTTGTTGCTAAAAACAACTTGAGTTGAGTTTGTATTCTCTGCTACACAGGAGCAAACATGGCACAGAGGGGAAGGCTTACTTCTGCACATCCAAGAACTCAAGAAGCTTGGTGTCGGGGAAGAGGCTCAGGTTGGCGATTCCCTGGCTGTAGAGACTGTCCTCTTTCTCATGAAGAAGCAGGTAGAGAGTGAAGAGCTCTGAGTAGAAGCTGGGCAGTATGAGAGGCAGCACCAATCTATGTACCTGCAGGTCCCTGGATGACAGTGACCAGGACAGGTCGGGGTCAGCAGGTTGGGGCTTGGGGGTGGTGATCACTACTGAGCTGCCCTCCAACGAACCCATGTTGCTCCTTGTCCCACAACAGTGTCCCTTCCTCCAGCCTCCTCCACTCCCAAGCCTGTTCTCAGTCCTAGCACAGTTGATGGATATCTGTGGCCACCTCATTCTCTCATTTGACATTGAGAACCCATGTGGCAGGTGGAGCAGGATTTTGATCCCCATTTGACTGAACGCAAGCCAAGGCCCCAAATGGACAAGTGACTGGCAGCAAAGCCCTCAGCAGCTCTTCCAGAACAGTCTATTCCTGCCTCCTAGTTTTCTGTGCTTCCTAAGACTCTGGGGGAAGTTCTCCCTGATGTCTAACCTCACTCCCCATGCCTCCTGCAATGCAGTGACAGAAAGGCCTCTCTGATCAGCATCTCTAGGCCTGGAATCTGAAGGAAAATGATAAGATTTGATCTTGGGGAACTGGGGGATACAGACCTAACGACCCACGTAACTCCTGCTGTGTGACCTTGGACTCAGCCCCCGCCGGGCCTGTTTTCCCATCTGTGCACAGGGAGGAGGGTGCCTGGGCTAGCTGCTCACCTCTGCGGACCTGGGAAATGGGGCTGGACTAACACACTCAGAACAAAGAGATTTGATGCACTAACTGCTTCCCTGGAACAGAGGTCATGGGTCATCACTTCTGCTCATGGGACAGAGGTCATGGGTCATTCTTATCCTTGCATGCTCGATGAACAATGCTTCATCAACAGCCTTAACTCCTGACACTTCCCCTGGACCTGAGTCTCACTGCCCTGGGGAGAGAGGACCCCACAGACCCCATGAAGGCACAGGGCAGCCACCTTATCTCTGTGTCTTCCTCTTCCTCCAGGGCCTGGCCCTTGCGCTGTAAGGCAACTTGCAGCAGCCCCCTGCAAGACGACAAGAAGGGGACAGTGTGGCTGCCACCTCCCACAGAACCAGAGCTCCCCTTGCCTGTCACCGAGGGAGGGCGGCCCCACCCCCAGAACCGTAGAGCGGGAGCTGCGTAGCCAGCCTCTCGAACCTGAGCCTGGGGGGGCACCGGCTGCCAGTAAAGTCCTGGAACCCCCGCAACAGAGGGCACAACCGTGTCCAGGGCCTATCTGTTATGATTCACAGGGGTGCAGCTCAGCCAGAACTGGAGATGGGGCCTGAGTCCGGAGTCAGGCTCAGTCTTTAATGGGAAAAGTTCCCCTGTGGCCAAGGGTCAGCCCAGGTTCTGGTTGTGCCTTGCCGTCATCTCCCCACCCTCTGCTCTCTACACAAACCTGACGGAGAGGCAGCATTCCTGCCCAGGGCTCCAGGCAGAGCCGATGCTCGGAAAGGGGAGCCCACAACCCTGAGGTCACAGGGCAGTGGCTGTCCACGTGTGCCCCCGAGCTCACCTGTAGGCAGCCCAGAGTTCCTGGGCGTGCTGCTTCACCTCCTCCTGGGCCAGCCCCTGCAGGTGCTTGTTGGCCCCAATGCCCGCGTATGTGGCCTGGAAGGTCAGCATCATCGTCCGGAGCAGCTTCCCCAGGGGGTGCAGCGAGCTGCTCAGAGCCTGGCCAGTGAGTAGGCAACGAAGTGGTGCTCAGGGCCGGGATCTGGAGCCCCCAGGCCCAGACAAGACTCCCAGGACTGCTCCCATTGCACACCTGGGGACACGGAGGCCCCCTGAGGAGAAGGGGCCCATGACCTGTCCCCTCACCGTGCCCCCCTTGGCCCTGGGGCCCTCACCTTCCTGAGGCACTGCTGCAGGGCCTCGGGCTCCCGGTTCTGCAGCACCTCCTCCAGGATGTTTTCCATTCTGCCTACACTGTCATCCAGCGGGGTCCTGAGGCACCACGCACACGTCTCTCAGCCACACCCGAGCCCAGGTCCCCACTCCAGGAAGCCTTCTGGGGTCCCAGTGCGTGCACGGGCACACGCACACCGGGCCTCACCTCTCACAGCACAGGTGCTCCTGGGACTTGCGAAGCTCCCTCAAGCTCTGCACGTGGAAGCCCAGCAAGGCCTCCTGCAGGTTCCCGGGGCAGCCAGCACGCACGAAGTCCCGGAAGGGGCCATAGACACCCTGCCAACGGCTCTCCGCAGGGAAGGCACCCAGGCCCAACTGCCTGCATCGGAGGCGGTAGAGGGCGGGGGGATGGGGAGAAATGGAGCTGTGGTGGGCGGGACCTGTCTAGGTCCCTGGAGAGGTGAGGCTAGCCAGCCTGGCCCAGAGTCAGGGCCAAGGAAGGGGGATGGACTGGGGAAACAAATGGGGCTACCTACCTCCAGTGCTCCAGGAGGAGAAAGGAGAGGCCGAGAAGGGACAGAGAGAATCTACTGCTTGGTGGAGAATAGAGAAAGGGCCAGAGAGAGCCCTGGAAAGGTGACAGAAAGACCTGGAGAGCTGGAGGCCCAGTCCAGAGAGTGTGGTTTTGGCCTAAGAGAGACCAGAGCCCGGAAGTCCAGAATTCCCTGGCCTGCTCTCCCTCCCACCACACCTGGTGCCTTCCTGAGCTTGATCCTGTCTTGGCCAACAGGCCTGGGAGTCTGGCTGTGTGTGTGTCTAATGAAGCATTACCCTCCCATGACAGAGTTTCCTACACCTGCACCCCACTGGGCTGGGTCATGTCCCTAAGGTTTGCCATCCATGCTCAGCTCCTACTGTCAGGGAGAAGAAATATGCAGAGTTGGTGGGTCAAGAAGTCAACTGTACCCCCTTCCCACATCTGAAATGCTGGCTGGTACTGCACCCCATTAGAACTACCATCCACAGATATCCTCATCAGTGCAAAACCAAGCCTTTCTCTTCCACTTTGCAAGTTTCCTTCTTTACTCTGGCTGCCAGGGAACTCAGAGATACTCTATCATAACCATTATAAGGCCTCTCTGCATCTCCCTGTCTTTTAAGCTCAACTCACACTTTTATTTTCTATTTTATTCTTGTTTGCTTTGTTTGTTTCGTAAACTGTCTGGTACCCTTCCTAGAAAAATAGCAGAGTCTAAGCAAAGCCTACATAAAATGTTTTTCTCCAGTTTTGTAGCATGTGGAGTTATCACAACATGGCCCTTGATTCCAAGGGTCTCTGACTTAAGGGTTGTGTGCCCTGGGCTCTCTGAACTCTCCAGAGAGCTAAGAGGAGGTTCGAAAAAGCCCCTCTGTTGAGACCTGAGTCCTTGGGGGTAGAAACAGATACAAAGACACCCCAAGACAGGCTCCAGAAAGCCTGGGCCAGATGGCAAGACTCACCTCTTGCAGGTGCTGCTTGGGTCGGGCGGGAGGGCAGCCGTGTCCAGCATACCCTGGGTATACAGTCCTCTCCTGGCCCCACTGCCAAAGGAGCCCTCCAGAGTGAAGCCATTGGGGAAGGTGACCTTGCCCTGGACGCCAGAAGAGGAAAGCAGGGATGTCTGTCTGCTGTCTGTCTGTCCAGGTACCCTTCCATACAATCAGCACAGGCCTCATGCCTGTCCACCCCACATCACAGAGGCTAGGGACTGGTGGGTAGCCATCCCTCCATCCCTTTAATCTGCCCCCCCTGAGGGGCTCACAGTCCTCCACCCCTGCAGGAGCTCCCCCACCAAGAGCTGTGCCCATCTCCCAGGAGACGGTCTCTAAAGTAGGAGACGGGGAAAAGTGGGGAGAACCACCAATGTGGGGCCAGGGTGGGCAGGTCCAGAGATAGGCAGGGGTCTGGGGAGGGCGTGGGGCACTGCCAGCCTGGAGGAAGGGCAATTCTTTGCCGCATGGGGCTGTCCCATTCCTAGCACTCCTGGTCTCTACCCATCAAATGCCAGTCATAACAAAACCAAAACAGCCCCCTAATATCCAAAGGCCCCATCAGGGACACAACTGCCTTCTGCTCAAGCAGTAAAGACTGTCACTCCAGGGGTACCTGCCCGAGGCACTGATGGTGGTAGAGGGGGTAGATTCCCAACTAGGGAACCTGAAGGTGATACAGCCAGGGGACCACCAGTACCCAAAGAGCCCAAAACAAGCCCAACACTCCCTTCTCGACTCCCACCAGGATCACATCACACCTCCACAGCAGGAGGGTCCCTGGGAATGTGTGAAGATGGGACAGGCCCTCCCCTACCTTCTCCCTACTGCCTGCACCCTCAACCCTGGGTCCCAGGGGGGCATTACAGACTCCAGTCCAGGCCTTGGCAGGGAGTGGAGTTGGCTCTCACCTTCCCCAGGAGGGTCAGGTCCCTGGTGAAGGAGCCCTCGTATAAAGAGTCATCTTCAGAGAGGAGGATTCCCGGGCCCTAGGGAAGGAAGCCAGGAAGGGAAGTGGTGGGTTCTGAAGAGCCAGGAGACATGGGGGTGGAAGAAAAGGGGGTAGTGGGCACTGATTCATGGGGAGCAGAGTCCTGGGCCCTGTCACACCTCCTAGGACCGTGCTGGGTGGGATGCCAGCGCTCAGCCTGCTGTGCACTGAGCATGAGCCCACGGACCTCATTGCCCTTTACCCTGGGACTTGGTTCCTCCTCCCTGGGGGCCTCGCCGGGAAGCCTCCCAGAGAACTCTCCCTTCACTCCTGTGGCCCAGGAAGTGCTGTGCTTCTCCTGAACCATCCCCACTTCCCTGTCACTGACTCCGGGAGGGGAACTGTGGCACTGATCAGATGCCTTTGCTGCACTGGCTGCCAGGAAGCTCAGAGCCAAACAGGATACAATAGCAACTACAGCATCAGGCCAGAGCTCTGCTAGGTTCCAAGGCCCTGGTACAGTGCTGGTCAGGCAGGTGGGTGCTGGGTGCCCAGGCTCAGGAGACCCGGGTTTGAGTCTCAGCTCTACCACTCAGTAGAATGTGACAGTGTGGGCAGGTTCAATGACGTGACCCACAGGGCGACTGAGAGGAGGCCATGGACCAGTTGGGAGCTGAGTCCAGAGCCAGGCACCCAGGTGGGGTCCATAAAGGCTGGTCGTGCAGGCTGCTGGCATCACCATCACCATGCGCTTCGGGCTTACTCTTCCACTGGCTTCTTACGAGAAGTAGTTAACCTGAGTTGCTGGTGGGGAGACTAGGGCTGGGAGGGGCAGGGACTTGGGCAAAGCCAGGCAGGTGGTTGTTAGAACTGGAAGCCTTACTGCCCAGGTTATGGCTCCATCCAGCACCTAGGAACCTAGCTTCCCACCTCATCCACCCATGACCAGCCTCAGCTCAGCCCAGGGTCCCCAGAGCAAGGGAATTCAGCCCATGTGCAGAGAGAGGGTAGCTCAAGACTCTCCACTCACCACCATCCTGTCTGCCTGGAAGGTCCCCTGGTAGCAGTCTCCTGCCTGGGTGACCATGATCCCCGGGCCATGGCGCTGGTCCGCCTGCCACATGCCAATGTAGCGCTCGCCCCTGGGGAAGGAGGAAGGGTGGCAGAGTTGAGTCAGAATAGTTCCCATGCACGTTCTGTATGTGCTACTGTTGTGTGTGGGCAGGGTGTGTGTGGGGGGGAGGCAGACAAGGAGAAATGACATCGCCTGAATCCATTCAACTCAGATACCAGGCAGGTGAAGTCAGGACCCCCAAGAGGGTGGAGGAGGGAGACAGACTGCTGGGGGAGGGCTTCTCATCAGGCTCCCCAGGGAGGTGCAAGGACAGATGCAGTCGGGGTGCCGTGCATGCACGTGCAAGGCTGTGAAGGTAGGAGTGTGCAACAGATACGTGGGGGTGTTCAGTGGTCTGTTAGGCTGCAGAGGTGCACAGGTGTCAGCAGGAATGAGGTCAAAGGCGAAGCCTCAAATGCCAGGCCAGGGACCCTGAGCTTTGCCTCACAGCCCCGAGAGCCTGGAAGGCTGTGATCTTTAGATGGGGTCAGACTGGGGGGGTCAGAAACTCCTTTCAGACAGTGCAAGGAGGGGGCAGAGTAGCTTCCTGAGCCCAGGGACCACCAAGGGACTGGTGGGAAGTGAAGGACTTCAGAGAGACTCGGGGACAAACAGAACAGACTGACCACAGGAAGCCTGTGCTTGAGGCTATTTGGTCTGTGAGGGTCTTCTCTGCCCCCATAATCCTGGGGGTGGCTGTGGAGTGCTTACCTGTCACTGTCTTCCTGGATGCCATAGCCGCTCCTCTGGCCCCTCTCCCAGTGGCCCGTGTACTTGCAGGGATGAGGGGCCTGTGGGGCACTCTCAAAGACCCCAAATCCGTGCCACAGGCCCTTCTGGAGGTAGCCCTTGTACACCTCGCCAGTGCCATACCTGGAGAGGGTCACCAACGGCTGGCCCTGCCTCCCAGCCCTCGGCCCAGGGGACACGCCTGGACCGTGAGCCCACCCCGCCATCAGGCCAAGGGTCACTTACTCACAGATACCATAGCCACACATGCTGCCTTCTCGCCAGTGACACTTGTAACAGTCAAACGTGTCCTCAGAGGCCTGGGGCACCAGGCGGATGCCAAAGCTGTCAATGTGGGGGGGCGGGGAAGGAAGTCAACATGGGGGCCACCACCCTGACTCAAGATGCCCCATCATCCCCCTTTCCTGCCACCCAGGCGTGTCCCTGCTTCCACGGCCTTTCTCAGACAATGGGGAAACTCTCACGAGTGCTCAGCCATCTCTCCTTTCCAAGGGCCCCTCTAGGACACCCCCTCCATCCTGCCCCGAGAGCACCTTCTGGCCCCAGACCACTTCCCAATGGCCTGCACTCTGCGGGGCCTTGGTTTCCCTTTTGTACAAAGACGGGAGTGGATCAGATGGCCTCTAAGTTCCTGCTTGAGTTTGGGAATTTAGAATGGGGCCGGGCTGGTGACATTGGCAGGGGCGAAAACTACTCTCTGCCCCACACCCTCCCATAGCAGCCCCAGCCTTACCCATCCTCCAGGCCCTGGCAGAAACTGCCCACGTGACTCTGCCCATCTGGCCACTTCAGAGTTCCCCTAGAACACAGTGGAGGGCCACAGGCATCAGGCCCAGCAGACCCGTCCTTCAACACGCACAGGACGTCCCGCCAGCCTCTGCTACTATCTAGAGGCTGAGGTCCCCTCAGACCGGACTCAGCCCTATCAGCCCTCTTCTCTGAGCTCTCTGACCCCACAGGGGCTCTCAGCCCTTCCCTACTCCTTGCACATGTGCCCCAGCAGCCTCGACGGGCACACTCACCACATCCATAGGGAGAGCTCTAGAAACAGCTAGGTTCCCTCTTCACTTGACCGACAGGAAGCTCAGAGCTAAACTTCAAGCTCAAGCCAAACACTGATCAGTGGGTTACTACCATCCTTCTCTCCGACAGGCACTGTTGTCTGTCGTTTTGTTCATAAGCTTCCTCAAGCCCTTTCTGGGAGCATCAGGGTTAGAACTAACAGACGCACGTGCTTGTGAGCATGACCTTGGCGAGTCCCTTCTGCTTTCTGTGCCTCAGTTTCCCCAGCTGTAGCACAGGGCAGAGCCACATGTCTTCAAAAGCCCACCTGCGTGTGGGATCAGGTGCACCTGAAACTGCAGCCAGGCTCACCCTCACCCTACAACCTGCCCTAAGGCCTCGGGCAAGACATGCCAGTCTCAGGCCTCAGTTTCTGTCCCTACAGAATGGGCAGCTTCACTCCCCCAGAGCATTCTTGTGAGGACCGATGGAGACGGGATGTCCTCAGACCACCTCCACCACCACACGATGCCACACAGATATGGGGACTATTCTCCCCAGAACAGGGCAACCTCAGGGCAGCACCTGACTTCCGCCCCACACTCTTGTGTCACCAACATAAGACTTTATCTGGCACAGACCTACTAGGGACCAGGTCCTGTCCAAGAACAGTTAAGAGAAACTCTGGGGGACAAACAACTGACCAACTGACCACAGGAATAAAAGCCTCTGGTCCACGCCCCAGGGCGATGAGGGCCGTGGGTCCTGTCTGCCCGATTCCCGGAGGCCCGTCACTCACTTGCCATGGGGCCTGCCCTGGCACCACTCGCCCTCATAGGTGGCCTGGCAGAACCGACCCTCTGCAAGGAAGGTGTATGTCATGGAGCGGCAGGGGGGCGTCTCAGAGGGCTCCAGACCCGCCCCGAGCACTGGGAAGTCTTTTTTCCCACGAAGGGCCTGGCACACAGCCTGGGTAACCTTCCATCGCCAGGTCACCTGATAGGGACAGGGAAACACAGGGCAGGTCACTGCTGCTCGAGGCAGTCCCACTACGAAGCCCAGGGTGACCCAGTACGACCCTCTCCACCCCACCCCTCCACCTCCAACCCTGTTCTGCTACTTAGAGGAATATCCAACTGCTCCATGCTGCTCCCTAGGGCCCTCTGCCCACACTTGAGCTCCTGTCTGCAGCTTTAGGGCCTGCCAGGGAGCCAGCCAAAACCACTGGGCAGGGATCAGCACAGGCCCCAGTGTTGGTTCTCGGGGAAAAATACCTGCCTCTATGGCATTCTGATGCTTGACCCCAGGCTGACCCCTCCTATTCTAACCATGACCCAGAGGCCTGACACCCATGGAGTCTCCAGGGTTGTATATGTGTGCCCTCCCCGCCCCCCTTTCCTTCCCTCACTCCCATCACCCACACGCACCTGCTCCTGGGGGTTCTTGAAACAAAAACAGAACTCTTCCTCAGGTGTGAGGAGGTGAACTGAGCACCTAGACAGATGAAGTGAAGAGTCCGAGAGGGTGAGGGGAGGGCCCAAGTCGGGGCCTTGGGGAGCGGGCAGGTTTCATGTGCTAGAGGGAGGGAAGGCCTGGGATGTCATCGGACGAGGTTGCTCACCTGTCTTGCTCACAATCCACCCACACCAGCTTCAGATCAAAGGTGTGGACATTGTGACCCTGGAAGAAGACAGGGCACAGGTGTCGTCCAGAGCCCAGACCACCAGCCTGCTGGCACACCCTTGCTGTCACCAGGCTACTCAGTCCAGCATGCGCAGAACTGAGTCCCTCACCACCCCGACTTGTTCTCCACCTCCAGGGTAGCTCCTCCAGCTCCCTTTCCAACCAAGGGCCTGGCCGGGAATCTGGGGTCAGCCTCCCACACCCTGACCCTGCTCTATCACACCGAATGCTCTTCAGGAGACACAGCTCGGACCCATCAGCCCCTGTGGAAACCTCTCTACGAACCCTGCCGCCTAGGGGCTGGAGAGCCCACTGCTGAGCCTACCACTTGAGACCACACACACCCCTCCTAGCCCACGTGCCCCCCCGCCCTCTGCACACCACAGCCTCACAGCCACATGCTCCCCGATCTGATGCTCCTTCTACCCGAAATACCACCCCTGCTCTGACAGCCAGACTGAACGTCCCTTCCTCTGGAAGACTGTGTGCAGTGACCTCCCCCTGCCCAGGCCAGCTGACCACTGCCCCACTGCCACAGGAGGAGAAGGCCCCAGACACGGGCCAGGGACGCGCGTGGGCCCAGCAGAGACAAGAGGACGTGCACCGGCCCAGAGGCGGGGAAGGGCTCGGTGCGTTTCAGCACCGCCTCTGCAGCGCCTCTGGAGCAGAGTGTGAGGCAGGAGTGCAGGGGAACTCCGCATCTGAACGAACCCAGAACCAGGCCTCAGGAGACACAGGTTTGGGCAGGGTAAGAAGCATCGCCCCGTCTGCAGGCGAGTTCCAGACGGACATTCCAGGGGGACAGAGAAGACAGCACTGTGGCTGTCACAGGGGTAGCATGAGCCCAGGGGGACAAAGCACAGTCAGGCTACTGGCCATGTCACAGTGCCTAACCCAAGCTTGGCTCCCTCGGACTGCTGCAGGGCAGTCTTCTCTAGAAGCCTGTCCCGGCCCTGAGTGGTTCATCCAGCCCTCCTCAGCCACCAAGGGCACCCATAACCGCCCATCTGGGTTCCTCTCCTAACTGAGGAACAGAACTGTTTTCCAACATCTGCTGAAGGACAAATTCACAATTATCCCATTTTCCAGATGAGGAGCCAGAGGTGAAGACATCGGCAGGGGCCCTGGAGCCCTGCAGCCTCTCTGCACAGCCCGTGCTCCCTCAGGACCACTCCCACCTGCTGCGCCCCCCCCCCCCCCCCGGGCCTCTACCTTTCCGCCCTGCCCCTCCCTCATGAGCCCAACTTCTCACTCCCACTCCCTTTTCACCAGACCCCAGGCCCCCACTGCGCCCCCACACCTCGGGTCCGCCCCCCCACCTGCAGAAGAACTAGGACATCATCAAAGAGCAGCACGCGCTCTGCCCGTAGTGGGGTGACTGTCACAGGTACGTCCTGGCTGTCTTGCAAGAGTCGTCGAGCAGGGCTGCAGAGTGCATCCTGGTGAGGTGAGGGGGGAGGCGCAGGGCTCAGGTACCCATCCCGGATGCGGCGGCCACTCCACTGTCCCCAACCACCTCCTGGAGGCGTCCAGGTCAGTGATGAACACTGATGGGATGGTGATGGGGCCCCAAGGTCTGGAGGGTCATTCCCAGCCACTCCCAACAGGGCAGCACAATTTCTCTGGAAGCGTCACTTTGCCCTCCCCACCCCCCTTGAGCCGAGGCCCCACCCAAGCCCCTATCCACTCTCACCTGGGGTTCTGCAATGCCCACCCCCCTCTGGCAATTCTTGTCCCCGCCGACTGTTCTCCTGACTTTCTATCCCGAGCCCCCCTACAGGGACAGCACATGCCACAGTGGGCAGGGACATGGGGATGCAACCATCTGGTGACATCCCAGGAGAGGGTCAGTTTGGCTGACGCTCTTGCCCAGAGCCAGCTCCTAGCCCAGCCCAGGAGGTGCTCAGCAAATGGGTGAAGATGGCTAAATAAAGGGGCTGCACCGCACCTGGTTCAGCCACACCCCGCTTCCAGACGGGAAAGCTAAGGCACAGAGTACAGCAAACAGTTCGAACCACCCAGCAGGCCGCTGCCCGATGAGCCCCGTCCCTGACAGCCCCTCAGGCCATGAACTCACCCTGTGCCGGCTGCTCAGGGTGTGCCAGAGGGCCTGCGTGGCCATGGCCTGGTCCAGCGCCTGCTTCATGAAGGACTGCAGGTCCTCAAAGACGGTGGTTGCATGTACCACCAGCTCCCGGGTGGGGTGACACTGGGGGGGAGGGGAGCAGCCAGGGCAGGGCTTATCAGAAGTGTCCCCCATCCAGTGAGGGCTGCCCTGGCTCTGCCTGCATCTAAGCCCCAGTTCCCCCTTTCTCCCTCCCAGCTCCTCCTCCGGGGAGCGGCCAGCAGGACCCTTTCATGGCTCCCTGGCTGGGCCTGGACCCTGTTACTCACACCTACTGTATGACTCCCCGTCTGCTCCCTGGGTCTCTGCCAGCTCCGCCAGGGCAGGGCCGAGAACCTCAGACAGCCCGGGACAAAAACATGTCCCTTCAAACCCTCCAGAACAGGGCCATGTCCCCAAAGCCTGGCCAGGTGTCCTCAAACTAGGGTTCCTGAGTACAGCAGGTGTCCTGAGCCAGGGCCCTGTGTCTCCCCACCCTCAGGCTCCCCCTGGCAACAGGCCTGGTGAGCAGCGCCCCTGCCACTTACCTCCTCAATGGTGTCCACAAGGCTCAGCAGGAGGAACACGTACTGCTGCACGTGACGGATGAGTGGCTGGCGGAGGGCCTGGACCAGGGCAGTGCCCACCGAGCCCTCGGAACTCACACCCCACAGGAGCGGCCGCAGCGCCTTCCGCTGGCCCTGCCAGAACTCGCTGAGAGGAGGGAGGGCCACACAGCACTGTCACTCTCGCCTCCTCCATCCCTGTACCCACCACCGCCTCCCTGCCCGGGCTAATCCCCCGGTCCCAGCATCAGCCCCAGCAGGGAAACAGAGCCCAAGTGGCCCTCTTGGAGATTTAGTAGCGATATCTCAGTGTTTTGATGGATTAGTGACTACAACCATCCACCTCAAGCAGGAATGTCCCTCTTCCTGCCCCAGGATCACCGCTGGCTAGTGGGTTCCTGGAGTCTGCTCCCTAGGTTTGCCTCCCTCTTCCGGTGCAGATCAGTGCAGGGCCGTTGGAGCCAGGAGCGCTCAGGATGAGTCGCAAGCCATGACACTCACTGCTCTGGGACAGAGCTTCCCCAACCCTTCCCCTCCAGACGCCCTCCACCCAGAGGCCCCCACAACACCCCGTGCTCACCTCTGCTTTGTTGCCTTCTCAAAGGCCTGCACCACCACACACCTGGTGTAGGACTCGATGTACCTGCAGGCAGCATAGGGGGCACCCTGCAGGCCCAGGCCCTCACTCCAGACTAAAGCCCTTGCCCTTCTGGGGTCCCCAGCTCCCACTCACTGAGTGGCTTTAGCCCTGAGGGCCTAGACAGTGGCCTGGCTCTAAGCACAGGTGACCTCGAGACCTGACTGACCCAAAAAGACAATTATAACTCACAAAATCTTTCTTCCCTAGGAGGTCCCAAGGCTCAGGTCTGGGGTATCTGAGCCTGCACCAGACTAATGCCCAAGCCCGCTGAGGCCAAGCCCCTGAGAGCCCCACCCCAGGTAAGCCTGACCCAGGTGAGCCCCACCCCAGGCTTAACTCAAACCTCTGCCCAAGCGCTGACCCAGGAAAGCCCCCCTCGCTGTCTTACTCCATGTGGACCTGCAGGACATGATCGGCACCACGCAGCAGCAGCAGCGATTCCAGACCGAAGGCATCCGGGCGGCGCAGCCTGTCCTGCAGAGAGTGCAGGCTCTCCTCCGTCACCTCCCGAAGCTGCTGGGAGCTCCTGTGCAGCTGCTGCAGGCACTCTCTGCCCTGGGGGTCCAAGGGCGCTGGGACAGGGATACAACCTCGCTGTGAGTGGGGTCAGGGCTGCTGCACCTTCCAGGGAGCTCACAGAGGCCCCGCTGGTCACTGAAGGCCAGTGGCACCCCACAGCCCTGGAGCTGCAACCAGGGTCCTGCATCCCTGGGGTCCTTAGGAAAGGATCGGGAGTTGATGTGCCCTCGAGCTCAGCAGGGGATGGGCAGGCTGAAGTGGTGAGCAGCACCCTGAGGCGTAAATACAGGCAAATATCCACCTCATCACCAAACAGGGACAGCACCAGTGACCTAGGGGCACCAGGTACACTGATTCCCTGAGTCTTCCACAGGGTCCTGCAGTCCCTGCCATTCATAGGTGCATGGATACGCCCCCAGGAGGAAGGCACCTGCCCCAGGTCACATCACAAGTGAGACCCAAGCTGGAGGTAACACCTGCCTTCCTGTCCTGCCCTGGGGGACAGCAAGATGAGAATGCAGCCAGAGAATCCAGGCCTATGCCATGGAAGACGTGGGATTCCATCTCTACGAAAAATTGGGTCTAATCCAGGATGGGGTTCGTGGCCTGGCCCCTCACGGTCCCTTTGAGTAAGGAGCACCCAGTAACTGGGGGCCAGGACCCCAGTCCCATCGGAAGCTGCAGCTCAGAGGACCCAACAAGGTAAAAGTCCTTTCCCTGGGACAGTTCCTGTGTCTTCTCCCCAATGGAGAACCGAGACTCACCATCCGTGAGCAGGGGCTGGAGAACAAGGTTGTTGATTCGGGCAAGGGTGGCCAAGAAGACCTCCTCTAGATGCAGCAGTTCCACCTCCTTAGGGCTGCACATGGCCAGTGTGCCAGCCTCAGGGCCTGTGAACGGGGCACGGATTAGAGAAAGACAGCACATGGGGAAGCAGGGTCAGTGCCCGTCCTCTCAGGCGTGTGCCAGAAGCAAGGCCCATGACCCTCCCCCCCCCATCAGAACTGAGCAATGAACCCAGGTCACCTCAAAGAGAAGTTCCCAGACTGGCCACTGACCCCTGCCCCTCTCCACCTCAGCCTAGCTGAAGGGAAGCCGAAGGAGTGGGAGACAGGACTCAGAACTGCCAAGGGAAGCATCCCTGGCCTGCTCACTCCTGGGCTCCAATACCCACCATGGCTCCCAGGGCTCAGAGTGACATCTAGTGGTGCTCTGACCTAGCCCTCTCTCCAGTGAGTCTCTGTAAACACGGACATGCTGACAGAGTAGCCCAGCCTTTCTCAAGGCCATGGCTCAGGACTCCCTGTCACCCAACAGGCTGGGTAAACAAGATGTCTAGGAACCTGGGTTGGGGGGTAGGAGGGTTCTGCTGGAGCCATGAAGGAAGGGCAAGAAATAAAAAGGCAGAGAGAAGGACAAGACATTCAGGTGTGGGAACCATGAGAGCAAAGGCTCCTGGGCATGAAGGCACAGGCTCTGCAGGTGGCCCACCAAGAGCACCGTAAGTGGCCAACAGAGGACCCATGGAGGACCTCAGAGCAAGGGAGCAGCCAGCCAGACCTGGGGAGATGGACTTGGGGACAGCTGCAGAGGAGATGGTACCAAGAAGTGAGAGGGTGAGGTCAGGGTGGGTGAGAGCCAGACTTTCCATGCACCCCAACCTGGCTGACCCTACTAGATGGGTCCTACTTAAGACCTGGGTATGGGCGGGTGGACCTGAGCCTTTGGACTTCCTGCCCTGGAGTAAGGGACCCTCCAAGCACGCAGGGATCACCTGGGAATGTGGCCTCCTGACTGGAGGGAGGGGTAGCAAGGGGCCTGGGCTCAAACCCAGCCCCATAGCAAGGCCACAGCCTCCAAGGGGACACAGCCCTCTCTCACCAGAATTGGTGCCCTCACCTGGCAAAGGAGGTCATATGCCCAACTCTGTCTCTCCTTGGCACTGACACGCTGAGGCTCAGGAGTTAGCTGACCTGGGTGGGGCAAGAGACATGATTGAGTCAGCCAGTAACGGGCAGGCGACACAGGCAGACCCAAGTGAAAAGGGGTCTCATCCCTCCCCATCCAGCCACAAGGAGCCTACAACTCCCAGGACATTGGTTCTGGGGCAGTGAAACGGGTGTCTCAGAACTGTGGCCCAGGGCCATGGCCCAGGCATTCTCACCCCACCTTTCCTGCTGCTGCTTCAGGAGAGAGGCAGGAAGGGGAAGTGGCTAACCGCTCAGCTGCAGCCTGCTCTCTCTGCCTGCCCCTGTAGCACCCCCAGCTCCCCCAGGGGAGGGGCAAGTTGTTACAGGTCAGCTCAGGCAAGGGGTCAGGAGTGTAGCAAGTGTGGCCTGGACCCACCTGACCCTCACCCATATCTCCAGAAACTGATAGAATGGAAAGGCCCTTTAGGGGGTGACTTTTCCACCCTCAGCTGGCAGGCAGCTGGGGTCTGAGCTGAAAGGGGAGGACAATGGCTAAAGGTGGAGGAAGGAGGGTGCAACCAGGATGGGAGGTGCGAACTGGGAACTAGATAAGGGTGAGCGGGGATTTGCAGTAATAACTCGCTGCCGGGAAATCTTGAGCACCACTATCTCCCATACTCATCTGGGGCCAGGCAGCCCCACCCACACCAATGCTACACTCAGGAGACAGAGCTCTCTGCCCCTCTGTCTCTGCAGCTGGTAGCTGCTCCCCTATCCTGGACCTATGGCCCATACCCCAGCTGCTTTCACAGGACCGCCTGGGGCCCCCTACCCAGATGTTCAGCCCTGGCCATGGCCCAGCTTATCCACAGCCTTCCTCTATGAAATGAGACTCCGAATAGGGCTGAAGTATTTCCTCTGGGCCACAGGTACTTCCTCTATGAAATGAGACTCTGACTAGATCAGAGCTTTTCAAATAGTTAGTCCTCCCGAAAAAGGATAAACTGCTGGCCCTGGCTGGTGTGACTCAGTTGGTTAGGTATCGTCCTACACACCAAAGGGTTGCCAGTTCGTTTCCCGGTCATGGCATATGCCCAGGTTGCAGGCTCAGTCCCTAATGGGGGTGTGTAGGAGCCAGACAATAGATGTTTCGCTCTCATATCGAAGTCTCTCTCTCACTCTCACTCTCCCTTCCTCTGTCTAAAAATCAAGGATAAATTGCTGGAGGGGAGTGGCTCTGGGTTTGGGGACCTGGTCCTCAGCCTCCCTTGGGATGAGTCTTACAGACCTGGTTTGCAGATACTACTCTGGGGCCTCCCAAGTTAGAGATCCCCCCACAGGGATCTCTAACCCTAGGAAACTGAGTCATACTGTCTGGAGGAAAGGCCAGAAGTTAAGCATGGCTGGTGAGGTGGAGGGTCGGGGGAGGCTTCAGTTAAGGCTGTGGGTCTGGTCTGGTGGCCCCCAGGTTAGGAAGCTTTGGGCTTCTTCCCAGAGGTGGTGAGGGTAGAGGTGAAGCCAGGCATGAGGATGTATGAGTGTGTGTGTTTGCAGGGGAGGAGGAGGAGGTGCTGAACTCTAACATGAGAGGAACCCAGCTCTCTAACCCAGTCCCACCCAACCCACCTCTCTCTGGTCAGGGGCAGGGCCTTCTCACCCACTCTCTCCATCCAGGTTTTAGGTTCCTTTGTGGTAGGCTGCACATGATATATATGTGGGGAAACCGGGGCCCAGAAAGGAACAGGGGAGCCCAGAAACACTATATGTAGAGCACATACAGCAATCAGACCCAGGCCCACCAGGCTCACCTACCTGAGCGACTCACCTGAGGGCACACAGCAAGTTCCTGGCAGGGCCCAGCCTCCTACCTCCCCAGGCAGCCTTAATGTTCACCAAGAGGTGGAGTAAGCACAAAACTGGCTGGTCTCGGCATGCCCAGGTGAGTCAGCTGCCTGTCCCTGTGTCAATCTAACCAACAGCTAGACCTGCTCTCTTCCCTGCATTCCTGGCCTCTGTCCATGCTGGGTCCCTCTCCGGCAGGGTCACTGCGGCCTCCCCTGCCCTCTCCAAAGCCTGGCCCCTCTGGCCCCTCAGCCACACCCAGCCACGGCACCCATTCTGGTATTTCCTGGTCTGGACAGGCAAGGAAGTTCGACTCGCTGTGGACAATTTTTCCTGGGCTGCCTTGGAGCCCCCTTGATCACCCAGCAAGCCCAGTGGTGGACAGCTAGAGAGGAGCAGACCAAGGCAGGGGCGCGGTCCAGCCCAGCGGACCCTTCCGTCTGCAGCGCGCCCCTCCGCCCCCGCCCCTCGCTGCACCCCGCTCGGCCCCTCGTGGTTCCAGGCTTCAGGTCCCGGAGGCTCCGGCACGCTCAGTCTGGCCACGTACTGCACAACTTCCCTTCCTCTCCCGCCCAGGCGCACGCAGTCATTGGATTTTCCCAAACATAGGCATCGGCCTATGGGGTTCTCACTGCCGGCAACACCAGCCCGCGCCACCTCCTCCTGGCAGCCTCTCGGGCTAGGTGAGGCCCCCAGGCCTTCGCTCCACGGCCAGGCCGAGCCCCTGGGCACCCAGCTCTGGAGCAGGACCCGGCCCCGGGAGGAAGGGGGGCAGGGGGCTGATCCTGAGCTGCCCCTAAACCTGAGCCAACCCGGTGACCACGGGGCGGGGAGGCCGAAGCTTGAGCCCCTCTGGGTCTGAGGGGACCTGCGGACAAACTCGTGCCGCCGGTACTGAGGAGCCGTAGAGGGACAGCCATGCGGCGGTCCGAGGGGGCGCGGAGGCGCGAGTCCCACCTGCCGCGAGGAGCGCGCGGAGCAGAGAGCCCGCCCGCGGAGCGCACCTCCACCGGCCCTTACCTGCTGGTGCGGCGCCTGCGGGGAGACCCGGAACGCTGGTCGCTCGCCGCCGCCGCCCGCAAGCCGTCCGCACGCCGCCCGCACGCCGCCGCCGCACGACCCGCCCCCCTGCGCCTCGCCACGCCCTCCGCTGCTCGCCACGCCCCCCGCGCCTCGCCACGCCCCCCGCGCCTCGCCACGCCCTCCGCGTGCCTAGCCACGCCCCTAGCCACGCCTCCGGGTGTCACTCACCGTGGCGGGAGCGAGGGCCCGCCTGCGAAGTGGTACACCGCGTCTGACCGCCCGGCGCCCGCGGTCTCTCCCGAGTTCTCCCTCTGGTGTCCTTCAGGGTCCGAAGGCTCCTGGGACCCAAAGAGGGGGAGCTTGACCCTTCCGCTCCCCACCGACACCCATTCAAGCCCAGGCTCGCCTGGCTTCCCGAGCAAGCACCCCGAGGAGACCCAGAAGGGACCCCGGTTTCCTCGTGCTGGCAGGGCCTTCCCAGTCCCCCTCGGCACTCCCAGTCACAGGTTCTGCTGGCCTCGGGTGCAGCCCGCACCGAGTCACAGAGGCCGGCACAAGCGGAGCGCTGGATGAAACCTGTAGCCGAGAGTGGGGTAAACCGAGGCCGCCCCACCAGCCCCAGGGCCGGCGGCCACGGCCAGCCGCCACGCCTGCCTGTGACCTTGGGGAAGTCCTCCTCCCCCCACTCCTGGGTCTCAACATGGCCCGGTAGAGCGTAAAGCTAGTGGTTGTCTGTGCCAGGGCCTGCGACCTTGGGAAGGGTGGCGTCAGCCTAGTCCTGAGGACCTCCCCGAGGGGGAGGGACCGTGGTTCATGCCTGTAACAAAGGAACCCGCTGTCCGACCGGGTCCCCCTCTGGCCGAGGCCAGGTCCCCATTACTTCCTGTAGCCGGCAGTTTCCAGGGGTTGACCGACAACACTGGGCCACCTCTGCCTCTTTCGCCACTGAGAACACGGGCAAAAAGGGCTAGTCCAGAGGCAGGCAGTGGGAGGGCACAAAGGGTGGCCCATCAACCCCCTACTCAAGTCTGAGGCTGTGGCCGGCATGTCTCATCCTTCCGGGATGAAGAGATCCTGGTGGACAGGGTTCATGGCCAGTTCCAGGGGTTCCTTAGCAGATGAGCAGGGTCTTGGAGGGTCTGTGGGACCCCAGGCAAGCGCCTCTTTGGGGCTTGGGAGGAGAGGCTAAGGGCTGGAGAATACCCTTGGCCACATGTGGAGAGAGCAAGGTCATCTAGGAGCATGTGATCTAACCACCTGCAACAAATGGGGCAGGCAGGTCCCTAAGCAGGAGAGATCTGATCTTGTGCTGGGTGTCTCTGTGGCAGCCCCTCCCCTCTGGGCCTCAGTTTCCTCATCTGCACCTGTAGCTGAGGAAAGGCAGTGCTGCCTGGGCTCACGCAGGAAGGGAAGAGCTCTATCAGCTTCCTCCCCAGAGTCCAGACTTCCTGTTCAGCCACATCTGAGGAAATAGGAAGACTGGGGGCCAGTTTTCATGCGCTCACTCCCCACTCACTGGGTGACCTTATGGGTATTGCCTAATCCAGTTTTATTATCTACCAGATGTGGGGCAAGACCTGCCCAGCCTCTCTCCCAGCTCATCCTTGGCTTGGGGCCAGGTAATCTGTAGTGTCCCAGGGAGTACCTAAAGGACAGTCTCTACTGGGTCCACCTACCCTGGGCTACCTACAACACAGCCAAAGGCCTTTGTCCAATCCCACTTTACTCCCACACCCCTTGCACACATATACGATACCACAGTAATGTGGTGGTGTGTACACTCACTTGTGCCACACAGATTCATCTACACTGAACTCACTGGCAGGTCCTCCATGTTGCACAAGCCGGGTGGCAGCCCTGTGTGCAGACCATGTGCATGTCCACACAGACACAGGCATACACACTGCTCCTTGGAATGTACACCGAGACTCATACCCAGACACATACAGAGGCAAGTACAAAGTGCATGTGCACTCTTGTGTACACAAATTTCTTGGGACACAAGCACATGCTTATGCACACACAGGTATCACCCAGGCCTGACCCAGCCCCAGAGCTATTCTGGGCTGGGCCTGGGGCCAACAAGATCAGAGACTGCCAGCTCCCAGCAGGCCCCAGTCTCTTGTCACAGGCCTAGGCTGCCCAGCCTCCACCCTCAGCCCAGGCTAAGTTCAAGATGCCCCAGATCCCAGACTGACTCTGACTGGGGGGGATCCTTGCTTCCTACCCTCTCTTTCCTCAGAGCTAAATCTTGAGCGCTGGGGTTTCAGGTTCCAGCAGAGAACTCTCCACAGTGTTCCCTGGCCACTGCTAACTGACTCTGCTCATGGCTTCCAACCCAGAGGCCCTGGAAGCTGGACTGGGTTCCTACAGGAAACCCACAGGAGCTAAAAATAGTACACAAGGGACAAACAGCGTTCTGCAGGCCAGCATTCACACCACCGTGCATGGAGAGAACACTGTCTTCCAGGGAAGCCAGAGCTCCACCACCCCAGACCTCATGGGCCGACTGGGGGCAGGGTGCAGGGGGACATGGAGACCTCATAAGAAGTAGAAATAGACTGGACAGTGGGCAGAGCTCTGGATTAGGGCCTGAAGACTGAGTTTGAGGCTCCAGTTCCTGAGTGCCTTAGGCAGGGCATAACCCCTCTCTGAGCCTCGCATTTTCATGAGTAAACAGGGGAGAGGAATAAAAAGATAGGGCTTTAGCTTTCAGGATGTTCCTCTCACCAAGGAGTTTACTATTGGAGAATTGGAAATAATGCAAATGTTCAACAATAGGGCGTTGATTGAACAAGGTATTGTTGGGTTTCTATACAGTGTAATATCACACTGTCTCTAGCAACAATGACAATAATTATAACGAGTAGCATTTACTGAAGGCTTGTAATGTGCAGGTGCCGTGATACTGAGGTCATACCTATTTTACAGCTGATGGATTGAATTCAGAGAGGTTAAGTAGCCCACTGAAGGCTCACACCTGTCAATATGATTGTGCCCCAGAAGTCTTAGTTCTAAGCATTAAAGCACCAAAAACTTTAGAAGTTATAAAGCATAAAGCTACAAATTTACAAAAAACATATTTTAAAGTTTAATTACTTAAATTTTCTTTATGCTAATCTAGTTTAATGAATTTTGGATAACTTTAATGTTCTTTCAGCTTTTGCCGTCTTCAAGAGTAATGTTGAAGACATTAAACATTAAACTTCCAAATAATGTTTCTTGTAAATTTGTAACTTTATACTTCTGAGGTTATTAAAGCTTAAAACTGCACTGATGTCCAGCCAGTGTGGCTCAGTGGTTGAGCACTGACCCATGCACCAAGAGGTCGCCAGTTCAATTCCTGGTCAGGACACATGCCCAGGTTGTGGGCCAAATCCCCAGCGGGGGGCATGCAGGAGGCAGCCAATCGATGTTCTCTCTCATTGATGTTTCCATCTCTCTCTCCCTCTCTCTTCCTCTCTCTCTAAAATCAATAAAAAGAAAAAAAAATTTTTGTTTTAATATATTGATTTAAAAAAAACTGCACTGAGGCCCTGGCCAGTTTGGCTCAGCGGTTAGAGCGTCGGTCTGCGGTCCGGAGAGACCTGGGTTCGGTTCCCGCTAAGGGCATGTACCTCGGTTGCAGTTTGTCCCCGGCCCTGGTTGGTCGTGTGGGTGGCAGCCACTCGATGTGTCCCTTTCACGTCGATGTTTCTCTCTCTCTCTCTCTCCCTCCCTCCCACTCTATCTGAACAAAAAAAAAAACTGCACTGAGACTTTCAGAATACCCTGTTATTTTAAGTCAGTTTGACTTCAGACCTGTGTGACAGTGCTTGACAGTGTGTTGGGGTGGGGGCGGGGGATCTAGGACGCCTCTGTTGGGTAAAATGCCCGGGGAAAGGTATATGATGAATAGCACGCAGCAGATCTTGGCTGTGTTTAAGAGCCTGTGGAGAAGTGGGGCCCACTGGGCGCGGTGGCTGCCCCAGAGGACAATGGCAACACATGAATGTATTCCCTTTCAGATTTCCTCATTGGGCTTTCCCTGCTTCTTGGATGGAACAATGATGAACTTTACAGGAAACAGTGACACCCCTCCCCTCCTGGGCTGAGCCAGCCTATCGGGGAAAGCCAGCATGTTAGTTCATATAATCCTCCATCAGCCTGTAATGATAGTGTTGCCCTCTCCGTTCCAAAATGAGGAAATCGAAGCCCAGAGGAGTAATGGTTTGTCCAAGGCCACTGTTAGGTTCACTAACCCCAACCAAGTCCCCTCTGACCCCATATCCCAAGGGAGACCCCATGTTCCTGGTGGTCAGTGTGTCTTGCCCTAGCCATGCCCATGACAGGCGGCATGAGGAAGAGAGGTGCGGATGGAGAATGCAGAAAGTCATTTGGGCTGCAGTGGAATCCTGTTTGCCTGGCCAGGGCAGGCCCGGGGAAGATGGGGTGGCCCAGCCCCCTCAACCCCCAGACTTTTCCGCGCACTCGGGAGGGCCTCCTTGAGAGGTCCCCTGAGCCAGCCATGCTCTGCCAGTGGCTCTCCCATTTGCCTGCCTGCTCTGTCATCTCCCAGGCTTGACACCTGTGGATGGCGGAGGCCAGCCCTCTGCCTTCTGCTGCAGCCTGCCTTGGTCCTTGCTCATCTATGGCACCTCCCAGCAAGGGTCCCACAAGGCCCTGGATCTCTATAGGGTTGCCAGTCTGTGCAGGTCTCCACTGGTGTTCTTGGTGAGGAGGAATGCAGGGGTTCCACACCTGAGCTGCTTCTCCAGCACGCAGAGGTGGGAGATGAATAATAATGGAAGGAAGGAAGGAAGGAAGGAAGGAAGGAAGGAAGGAAGGAGGAAGGAGGGAGGGAGGGAGGGAGGGAGGAAGGGAGGGAGGGAGGAAGAAAGGAAGGAAGAGGGAGGGAGGAAGGAAAGAGGAAGGGAGGGAGGGAGGGAGGGAGGGAGGGAAGAGGAAGGAAGGAAGGGAGGGAAGAGGAAGGAAGGAAAGAAGGGAGGGAGGAAGGAAGGAAGGAAGGAAGAAGGGAGGGAGGAAGGAAAGAGGACGGAAGGGAGGGA